ATGTATATATATATATTCATATATATATGTATATATATATATTCATATATATATATATATATATATATATGTATATATATTTCAATAAAGGTGCAATCAATTTAAAATTCATGAATATATATATATATATGTATGTATATATATATGTATATATATATGGATATATATATTCACATATATATGTATATATATATATATGTACATATATATATGTATATATATGTATATATATTCAAATATGTGTATATATATTCATATATATATGTATATATGTATATATATATGTATATATATGCGTATATATATATATATATTGTATATATATGTACATTTATATATATATATATATATATATATATATGTATATATATATATATATATATATATATATATATTCATATAGGGGTATATATATATATATATATATATATTCATATATATATATGTATATATATATCCCCATATATATATATATATATATATATATATATATATATATATATATATATATATATATATATATATATATATATTAAATATTATATATATATATATATATATATATATATATATATATACATATATATATGAATATATATATACATATATACGTGTCTTCTCTAAATTCTACATATATACATATATATATGAATATATATATACATATATATGCCACTTTCTCTAAATTCTGTTTTGATTTCCGGAGTTGTTTTTTTCTGTTTTCATTTTGAATTTGTAGGTCTGATGATTTGGATCGTATTTACGATTCCAATGGAATAAATTATGACCATGGAATATTAGTGTTTAAGCCTTTTTATTATATACATATATATATATATATATTTATATATATGCGTATATATGTATATACATTCTTTTTATAGATACAAATATTTACGTAAATGCTCTGTTTTTAATAAATTCGACCTTGGTAACTGGATGATCCTCTGTGGCCGAATCGGTTAAAAGGCACGTTAATCTATATGACCGTTCCGTATAGGATACAGGTTCGAATCCTGTCGGAGGACGAATATTTTCTATGAAAATTTCTCGGACATTCAGGCCGGTAAATAATGTTTAATGCTGTTTATTATAAACAGAGCATGTGGGATACCCGATAGCATTTCGGACAGCATAGACATGTCTCTCTCCCTCCACCCGTTTGCTCACATATCTGTGTTTGGCGACTTTAACGCCCAAGTGGCTTAAGGATGTTACTACTGACCACGCAGGCATTCGAACACTTAATTTTTTCAGTTTCTCAATCCCTCACGCAGATAGTTAACTTCCCGACTCGTTTTGCCTTCAACCGGGAAGGTAAGGCCTCTCTTTTCGATCTGTGTTTTACCTCCATCCCCGAGTCTTGTAGCGCCACGCAACTCTGCCCTCTTGGTAACTCAGATCATGCTGTAGTATCTATTAACATATCCTTCAACTCCACCCCCTGCAAAGAACCTCCTACCACTAGAACTTCGTTCTACTATCAACGAGCTGCCTGGGACTCGTTCTGTGATTTCCTCCGCGATGTCCCCTGGGATGTTGTCTTTACGCTCCCCGTCCAAGAATGTGCTTCTGAGGTCTCATCCTGGGTTAAAACTGGAATCGACGCTTTCATCCCTTCAGGAAAATATAGAGTCAAGTCGCGCTCCTCCTCTTGGTTCTCCGCTGCTTGCTCAGTCGCCATTGCCCATAGGAACCACTTCTTTCACCTATTTCGTAGCGACATGTCGGGCTGCAATAGACGCCTTTTGCCTCCGCCCGTAACGAATGTGTGTCCTCAACGATGCTAAGTCACTATTTGCTGCTCGGATGAAGGAGCGTATTGCATCTCGCAAATTTGGCTCTAAAGATTACTGGCGTCTCTGTAAGAGCGTTTTGAACAATTGCAAAACCTCTATACCTCCTTTGTTCAACCAGTTCGAAGTCCTGACCTCCTCTGCCGACAAGGCTGAATGCTTTGCTCGGAAATTTTCATTCAACTCAACGCTCGACTCTTCCCGTGTACCCATACCCGACTTCCCTCTTAGAACTGAGGCCCTATTGAGTGGGTTACACATAACACCGTCTTTGGTATTGGGCATTATCTCCAATTTAGACCCCAACAAGGCTAGTGGTGGGGATGGGATACCAGCCATTGTCTTGAAGAAATGCGCGCCTGAACTGGCGCCCGCCCTCTCTAAACTATATAATCTTGTTTTCCTGACTACTGTAAGTCCTCTTCGATTGTTCCTGTCTGGCGATCCCTCTGACCCTTCCTACCCCTCTTCGGCAAAGTCTTCGAAGCCCTAATCAATACCGAAGTGGTTAACCACCTTATATCCCATGATCTGGTCTCAGACAAGCAATATGGCTTCCACTTTGCCCGATCTACAGCTGATGTGCTTACGGCCATCACTGAAACTGTCTACCAAGCTCTTCAAAATAACGGGGAAGCTCGTGCCTTGGCCCTAGACATCTCCAATGCGGTTGATGGGGTTTGGCATGCTGGCCTTCTTCGAAAGCTCCAGGGATTCTTTGACCTAATACAATAATTCCTGTCAAACCGTGAATTGAAGGTCGTTCTCAACGGATTCTCCTCCAGTTCCTATCCCACGAACGCAGGTGTTCCTCAAGGCTCCATCCTAGGCCCCACTCTATTCCTTATCTACATAAATGAACTTCCTGGCGCCATAAATTCCCAAGTTGGCATCTACGCGGATGACACCACAATTTACTCCTGCCTCAAAAACAAATCTAGTGTCGCTGACAAAACTAAAAGGACCTCCAATCAGTTGTGAACTAGGGCAGAAATTGGCTGGTTAACTTTAATGCCTCAAAAACAAAACTGCTCTCTATTAATCACCAGAGATCCTTCCCTACCCTCCATTAGAATGTCTGACGCTCAACTTCTCGAGAGCACCTCTCTGCGGCTGCTCGGTCTCATGTTGACTGCTGACCTGAGATGGAACAAATACATTGAGTCAATTGCTTCGTCCACCGCAAGGAAAATTTGGCTCCCTGTGCCGCGCCAGGAAATTTTTCTCCCCGGAATCGATCCTTCAGATCTAAAAATCAACAATTCGCCCTTGCATGGAGTATTGCTGTCATATATGGTTTGGAGCCCATTCTGTTTGCCTCGGGGTTCTTGATAAGCTCCAGAGGCGGATATGCAATATAATTGGCCCTGTTCTGGCATCTCGTCTCCAGTCGCTCTCTCACAGACGCTCCGTCGCCTCTCTCTGTCTTTTTTTTACAAATACTTTCATGGTAATTGCTCCGAGGAGCTGCATTCATACTTCATCAAGCGCCCTACGAGGCTGGCATCCCGCTCTCACTCTTTCACTGTCGAAACTACTAAATGTAGCCGTCTCTTCTACTCTAATAGCTTCATGTCTCGCACTTCTTGCCTGTGGAACTACACACACACAAACACACACACACACACACACATTGGCATGAAAATTGACACACAGATTGGAAATTTACTGCATTCGTACTTGGTGTCTTCGGATTTTTCGATTGTTCCTCCGATTTTGGAAAAAATCGATAAAACCGATAAGCGGTCGAATATTGATTCGAAAAAAAATCAACAGTTTTTCAGTGATAGTTTTCACAAATTACAAGTGATATCCACCAAACTCACGTTGAGCAGTGTCATTACTTATAGTTTTGAGGTGCTGTTCTTTGTTTTTAAAAATTGATATCAGTTATCGGAAAAAATCGGTCACTTTGGGACATCCGATTCAAATCCAATGTAGCTGATTTTTGGCTGTTTTTCGCAATCTGCAAGGAATTTACATGAAAATCATGTTGAGCATTAGTTTTATCAACAGTTATTAGTTGCTGACCTTTTTCTTCAATATCGGTATCAATTATCGAAAAAATCGATAAGATCATTCTACTTTTGACTTCCAATTCAAATCCAGTCAAGCTGATTTTTGGCTATTTTTTTAGCAAATGGCGAAGAATTTCCACCAAAATTACGTTGAGCATTGTTTTTATCAATAGTTATGTGGTGCTGACATTCATTTTCAATATCGACATCAATTACTGAAAAAAATCCATACAATCGATCACTTTGGGACATCCGATTCAAGTCCAGTCTAGCTGATTTTTGGCTATATTTTTCCGCAAATAGCGAAGAATTTTCAGCAAAATTCTTGTTGAGCATAGTATTTACCGACAGTATTGAGGTGCTGACTTTCATTTGAAATATCGGTTTAATTATCGGATAAAAATCGATGAAATCATACCACTTTTGACTTCCCATTCAAATTGAGTTTACCTGAATTTGGCGATGTTTTTCGCAACTTGCTTAGGATTTTGATTAACTTTATCGGCTTTAGTTGTGACAATTAAAAACTTTTGCGATGTGAGCTCCTTTGTGACCAACTAATACCTGAGGGAAGTCGATACAATCATGTCTTCATCGGAATTTGCGAATACACCAATCAAACGCATGTTCAACTGAGACGTCTACACTACAGACTCTACAGCTGATTGTTATTCGCACACGCGTGACCACGCTTCACATAGCGGTATCTCATTGCCTGATTGCAGTACGCGGTCGCTGATTGGTGTTCGAGACCCTAGGACGCTCGCTGATTGGCACAACCGATTGACCAGTAATACTTCGCATTTGAACCTGCTGTGCACAGCTGTGGGACGAAGGTCTCACCTGCTTCTGTAACGCTGCCATCCGGTTGATACGATAGACTCCTTTAACTGATCATTTCTCCTACCGCAAGTTGTTTCTTACGTTTGTTTTCCGTTTGTCTGTTTAACTACATTTTTCCATAAACAATTTATTCAACTGTTTTACTTAAATACCTACCGTCCTGATTCTGTCTCACGCGATACTAAGTTAGACTTTGTACTCCTGCAATTGAGCAGCCCTAATCAATCACTTCGCATCACTTTTCCCCATGCCGCCAAAAAGGAGGGTACGTCTTAGCCTTCGGTCTGCAAGAGCGTCCGCTATGAGGGCAAGAAGGGCCCGCGAGTCCCAGGAGTAGAATACAATGCGACTATCACAGGTCGCTCAACGCAGCCCTCTCTCACAGGCCTCGCAGTCACAAGAGGAGCGTGCCACCTGCTTGGCTGGGAAAGCTGCCTACAGGGCTTTGTTGCGATCAAGGCTCAAGAACGCACAACGGTCGAGAATGAACGCACAGGCTGCAGTAACCGCCTCAGCATCTCGGGCTTACGAGACTCATCATCGAAGTCTTCTTCGTAACGTAAGAAACGCTGTTGCCACTGCGAAATCAAAGGCAATAGAGACATTTGACCGCAGGCGTGCCCGTCAATCCCGGGATGCTGCTGCAACAGCAACTGCTAGGGCTGCTGAGACACTGCTCCGTAGGTCTGTTCGAAATGCTAGAAATACTGCCAACACTGCCAGGTCGAGGGCAGCTAAAACATTCAACCACAGACGCGCCCGTCAATCCAGAGACGCTGCTATAACAGCTAGGTCGAGGGATTCCGAGACAGAGCTGTAGCGAGCAACCCGCAATGCCCGCAACGCTGCAGCGACTTCTGCTGCCAGAAACTCCTAGGACCCACAGACAAGGGCAAACAGACTTTCAAGGGCTGCTACAAACATGGCCGATGTGCGCTTATCACAAATTTCCCAAGCTCGCGGCATACGCCTCAAGTGGCGACATTCAGAGCCTTGCGGCCGCCCGTGATATTACCCATCCTAGTAGCTCTTTTTGGTCTTTCTTGGCTTTCAATTACGACTTCGGCATTAACTTAACTACGCGTGACGACCTCAATGTAGGGTCCATGACCTGCGTTTGCCAATTCTGCAATGCCCGCAAATGGGCTGGGGATCCTGCCGGTCTGTGCTGCTGCTCCGGCAAAGTTCGACTGCCACCTCTGCATGAACCACCTACTCCGCTGAGGGGACTAATAGCCGGCTCTCATCCCGACTCCAGCCACTTCCTTAAAACAATTAGGCAATACAACAACTCCTTTCGAATGACCTCATTTGGGGCTCAGGTCGTTCGAGAAGAGGGTTGGATGCCCACTTTCAAAGTACAGAGGCAGGTATACCACCGCATTGGGTCTCTGCTGCCTGAGGAGACCTCTACGCCTAAATTCCTTCAACTGTACTTTATTGCAGACTACAACCTACAGTCCGAAACCCGGATTGGTATTTTGTCGCCGTCGGGAAGAGTTCCTCGCAGGGACGTCATACTACTACTTCAGGCCATGCTTCACGAGGTTCATTCTACAGCTACATTCGCAGTTTCAAATATGCTTTGTAAAATGCTCCCTTTCCTTCCTTCAGCATTGTAATTGACGCCGACAAATGGCCTCACGATGAACACGAACGCCGCTACAATGCTCCTGCGTGCAACGAAATGGCCGCTATTATACATGGGGAGCAAGACCGCGACGCTCTTCGCAGGATTTCAGAGATCCATCGATCATATGACGCATTGCAGTACCCTTTACTTTTCCCTTATAGTACGATGGCTACCACTTGGGCATTCCTCTTCATACTCCGGGTGGCCAACCTACAACGACTTCCAAAGCCTTATCGTGCAAGGCCTTCTACTCATACCGGTTCATAGTTAGGGATGGATACTTCAACCTGCTTCATAGATGCAGGGAGATTTTCCACCAGTTTGCGGTTGACATGGCCGCTAAGATGAAATCGGAGAGGCTTTGTTTTATACGGAATCATCAGAAACAGCTGCGCTCAGACTCCTACGTACACAACAGCCTTCGAAATGAAGTTAATCCCCGCGACCTAGGGAAGCTGTGCATTCTGCCCTCTACCTACACTGAGAGGAGGAGGCGCGTTACATGCATGAACGCACGCAAGACACTATGACATACGCTAGGCAATATGGGCGGCCAAACTTATTTATAACGTTTACCTGCAACCCCAAACGGGTTGAGATAACGCGTGGACTCCTACCCGAACAGGATTACACTCACCGACATGACATTACCGATCGCGTATTCCGCTTAAAACTGGGAAAACTTATGGAGTTAATAGTGAAGGGGTGGGTCCTACAGTGAAAACGCAACCACTATTTTACATTGCCAGAACGGGTGGAAGTCTCCGGGTAAGCACGGAGCAGCAACACAGCAGCCACCTATTGCAACTGGTTACCTTTGATCTCATTGATTTTGCTACCTGTGAGATTCTCGGCCTATCAGGGACCCCAACATAAGCGGATACGTGCGTAAGTTCAATAATTCAAACCCCAAAACAATTTAACTACATAAAACCCCAAGCAACGGCGGGCTTTACTGCTCGTATGTATATTGTATATATATGTATACATATGTATGTATACATATATATATATATATATATATATATGTATAGATACTTATATATATGTGTGAATATGTACGTATATATATGTATATATATGTATATGTATTGTGTGTATTTAAGCAGCATCTTTTCATTCATACACGTTTCATTAAATAATACAGACAAGTGTTGTCTATTTATTTTATGTAAACTCTTTTCATAACGTCTAATAAGTTTAATAATATTATAATTGAACGAAGAAAGAAATTCACAATATTGATCCATATTTTTTTAATACAATCTAAGCTTTCGGCTTACATAAGCCATAATCAAAGATGTCAATTACAACATATTAAGTGTAGGGCTTAACCTCTACATGCCAGTGGATGAGAACCAATGACTGAGTTCATTACGTCCTCATTGGACACTAAATATTAAAACATTTCTAATTTACATTTTCATGTGTTAGTTGTAGATTTTTGTGCAAGCTAAACACAATCCAGGCTCCAGACGCAAGTTTTACAATAATTGTTTCTGATTGGTCAATATATCTCAAAGTCGTAACAACGCCTACGCGCACGTGTTTAAACACAAAATACCGCCAAATCTTGAAATGTGTTCGCGAGCCTCACACGTGACTAAGAATGCAAATAAATACAATGCACGAACACAAATTTACCAGTGAGCTTCGTGACGGATAACCGATCGCTAAACTACTCCGCGTCACTTATACTTTTGAAGTTGCAAAGTTAAATTTATTAACAAGAAACAACTCCAATGCACTCACTCATCAATCACTGGATTCAATCACCATAAACAGTGGAAGTTCTCAACCATAAAAACTTATATTCATCCAGCAAACATTTCAGTTGATTCTCTAACAAAAAATTATTACAGTCAAAGAGGGACAACTCCTTAAGCAAACTTAAAATTCACATCAGAAAAATACACACACTGTTTAATATTACGTAAGTTTACAAACCTCAATCATACCTTGTATGCCTTGCTTTGTCCTTTGTATGACTTACTATATAAAAAATTCTATTGTTTGTTATTCAAAAAAAGAGATTTATTATTATTTCTCATGTTGTTCTGATTCTATGTGTGAATATTGAAATTTTGATGATCCATTACATAAGCAATATACAGACAAGACAGTGATGACAGTCTGTGAATGTTTACATAGATGATCTCTAAGCAACGATAAACACGTGCATATAAGACGCTAGAAGCGAAAATCGCACCGCATCTCATGACGTTACACATGAGAGTGAATTAGAGAAGTATGAAGTATAGAAAGCCGTTGGCACAAACCAATGGCCTACGTCACCAACTACAGACATTTAAGGATATTTGTAGAGATTCCATAGTTGATTTTGTTTAGGTTGGGTTTCAACTGTTTAATGTATAATGCTTCAAGGATTTTTAGTTTTTGTCTATTGTTTTCATGTCGAAGTATAATTGTGTTTTCAACAAGTATTTTACGGAATTGTGTGTGCGGCCAGGCATGCTGTTTTAAATGCCTAAAAATGTTAAAGTTTTCATTCCAATGTAGTGTCAAGCGTCGTGAAAGCGAGTTTGTGGTGTGGCCAACATAAACATTATTTAAATCGTTGGAGATACAATCTCCCAAAGGGCACTTGAATTTATAAACTATGTTGGTTTTTTGCAAATCGCTAACCGGGGGAGAAGAATCATTGCGAATAATTGAGTTGGATATACTAGATTTAGTGTAGTATATGATTAACTTAATTTTTTGCTAGGATCTGTTGTAGATTTATTAGTATTTACTAATTTTTTTAGTATATTTTCATCTCGTTTATAATTAGTATGCATTTGATTACGATATAGGAGATTAATATATTTAAGATTAGTAGAAGCAGTATTATGTAATATTTGCTTAGTATTGAGATTTCTAAGAAAGCATCTTATTTGTTCGTCAACTATATAGTTTGGAAAGCTATTATTAATAAGTGTCTGTTTTATATTCTTTAGTTCACTGTAAAAACTCTGTTTTGTGGATGAATTAGTTTCTGCACGATGTATTAGATTTTTTATAATTGCTATTTTGTAGTAATATGGACATTCGCTCTTATACTTAAGTGTACATGAATTCAGTGGCGTAGCTAACAGGGGGCGGACCGCTCCGGGTGCCAGCACAGGAGGGGTGACACAATGTCACCCCCAACAAAATTTTTCAACTCGACTAAGGTGTCAAAAATAGTCTGAAAACAGTGGTGGAGACATTGGGTTTCGCAGGCGGGCATATGACCCCCCAGAAATAATGTATAACCCCCCAGTTTTGTCCCCCCGTCAGAAATTTTCTAATAAATTGTCGGGAAATTTGTGAGTAGGAAAAATAGCAATGTTTTCAGCTTTCATGTGTTTCAGTTGCTACAATCTTAGTTACTAACAAAAGACATTTTATCGGATGATAGGTGTTTTAACTCTGTGTATCAATTCGCTGAGATACAATTTTCCATTGAGTGAGCGATATACTTTTGAATATATCTACTAGTGTTGGGACGATTAATCGGAATCGGATTCGAGAATTGGAAAAATCGGAACTTTTTGGGGTATCGGAATCGGAAAAATTTGTGCCTATTTTCCGATTCCAAAAACGATTCTTTTAAATTTATTTTTGTTTTTTAAATTATCACTAAAACTAAAATCATAATAACATCAAAATACGATGTAAATTTATTTTACTTGTATAAAGAAAAACAAAAAAATAAACTTTGCATAAATTCTCTAGGTAAGCTTTAAAACAATGCAGTTGATTTACAATGTTCCTAAAAATGCTTAAAAATCAAATAGAACATTTTTGTCAAGAAAAATATTTTCAAACATCATTGATAATTAAATGGTACCCAGAAAATGATGCAACGGAAAATTGGACACCGGAAAATTAGCAACAGAAAATTACGTCAAACATGAGCCAGTCGAGACTGTCGGATCTGGCTGTGCTGTCCATTGAAAACGATCTTACAAGACAAACAGATTTTGACGATGTCATTGACCAGTTTGCCACGATGAAAACAAGAAAACATCCATTCTAAGACTATAGTATCGGATGTCATTCTTTTGTATATTGCCGTGTTTTGTATTTAGTTGTTCTGAAAGTGAACAGTTGCATTTAAAAATTTTTTTGATTTGAACTGATTATTTTGTGGTATTGGATTTTGTCTTGGATCATACATGTAAACAGTAACGTACCGGTCAGTAGAATAAAGTAGAGGTAGAGCATGTATGAAAATTTAGCTACAGCTAGGGTGAATCGGGGTCATTGGGGTGACATTTGAGCGGACCGCCCCGGGTGACGTTAACTCTAGCTACGCCACTGCATGAATTTATGCTGGTAGGTTTTTTGTACGGGGAAATAGTAAATTTGTTATTATTTGTGTTTATCAATATGTCAAGGAAGGAAATTTTATCAGTAGTATTGAGTTCATACGTGAATTTAAGGACAGAATTATTTTGGAAACGTTTTTGAAGTTGAAGTATTTCATCTGTATTTTTAACTAACATAAGGATATCATCAACATATCCTAGGTAGATGAGTGGTTTTTTAAAATCTGTAAATATCTTATTTTCGAGGTTCAGCATGTAGAAATTACTAGATGTCGGACACAGTACTGGACCCATGGAAACACCATTGTGGGATCTTCCACAACAAACCAGCCTTACCTCTTTTTAGGAAATGCACTCTTCCTCTCTGGTAAGTAACATCCTACTTTCATACAAATATAACAAGTATTCATTGGTCAATCACCTCCAATCTAGCTTGCTGATTGGTCAGTTTCAATCAATTTGAGACCCCTGTCCATTTGAGCCTGTATTGGTACAACAAAATTATAAAAATCCAACACGTGTAAACTCCCTCGAGTTTTCTTTTCATTCATCTCTCTCTCTCTCTCTCTCTCGCACGTCTCATTCCTTGCTACCAAGTGCCAAGATTGTAACCTTCAAGAACTCCCGTCTTAACCACTGCGATCAGACGTTAAAGACAATTACTAACATCCACGCAAATACGAACTCTGAAATCACTTCTGAACTTTTACCAACTTTAGAACTCACAATTCCAAACTTTATTCTTCTAAATTACAGTTTAATATTACTTTTTCTTAATATGAACTCGGGTACAATTAATACCTAATCAAAGGGACACGACTCTGTACTATCTTTTTAGTTCGCATGCATGTATATAAAACATTAATAAATTCAACTGTTATGTTTTGAAATCATTCCGTTCAGTTTTGTATTTTATACTACAGTGTAACCCGGATATAAGAGACCCGGATATAAGAGAAACCCGGATATAAGAAAGATTTTCTCTGGTCCCAAATTAGAGCCTCTGTTAATGTATATAAAATAGACCAAACCCGGATATAAGAGAAACCCGGATATAAGATACTTCTTCTCCGGTCCCGACAACTCTCTTATATCCGGGTTACACTGTATGTGCTATTTACGTCAAACATTAATTGCATTGCGTCCACGCATTGTCCTTAATCCCACCTTTCCTAGCCAAAGTTAAATATTGGTAACTCAATCACTATAATAAT